GAGGGGTCGGGGGAGTGTAGGGACAGGTATAGCACTTCCTGCGGTTGCAGGGAAAGGTGCCGGGTGTAGTGGGGTTAGTGGGGAGGGTAGAGCAGACAAGGGAGTCACGGAGTGAACGGTCCCTACAAAAGGCAGATAAGGGTAGGAAGGGAAATATCTCTTTGGTCGTGGGGTCAGATTGTAGGTGGCAGAAGGGGCAGAGAATAATACGTTGGATGCGGAGGTTGGTGGGGTGATATGTGAGGACAAGGGGGATTCCTTCTTTATTTTTGTTGGGGGGAGGGGGTTTGAGGGCAGGAATGCAGGAAATGCAAGAGATGCATTTGAGGACATTTTTGATCACCGGAGGGGGGAATGTCCCCGTCCACCGACACCCACATTTGCTAAACATTACTTGTCCTTATCCTGAACTACCTATCCTTCAACTCCTGCCACTTCCAACAGTCTAATGGTGTAGCCACGGGCACATAAAAATATGGTTGCGGTTGCTGGAGTTCCATCGTCTCAGCTCTCGGTCATCTCTGCAGTTTATCAGGGTAGTGTCCTAGGCCCAACCACTTTCAGCTGCTTCATTATAAATTATTTTCCATTAAAAGGTCAAATTGGGAGATGTTTGTTGACAATTACACAAACTTTGGCACCATTTGCAACTTCTTAGATATTGAAGCAGTCCACATCCAAATACATATTTGGACAATATCTTGGTTTGGGCTGACAAGTGCAGGCCATGGCTACGCCCAACAAGACAGAGACCAGGAATACTGCATCCAGTGACTCACCTCCCGACTCCTCAAAGCCTGTCCAACATCTGCAAGGCACAAGTCAGGAATATGTTGGAATATTCCCTACTTGGCTGGATGACTATGACTTCCAGAACACTAAAGCAGCTTGAAGCCATCCAGGACAAAGCAGCTGCTTTATTGACATGACATCTACAAACACTCATGCCCTGTCAGTCGTGACAGCGTGTGCCATCTACAAGATACATTGCAGAGATTTACAAAGACTGCTGACACAACAATCCAAACCTACAATCACTACTATCTGAATGTGTGAGGGCAGCAAACACATGAGAAGATGAACAACTGCAAATTCCCTTCCAAACCACTTACCATCCTGACTTAGAAATGTATCAACATTAATTCAGTGTCACTGGATCAAAATCCAGCAGCATTGTGGGTTTACACCAAATGGACTGCAGCGGTTTAATACGGTAGCTCAGCACCACCTTCTCAAGGGCAGCTAGGGACAGGCAATAAATCCCATCTCCAATCAATGAGCAAATAATGAAAGAAAATGCAAGCATTGACTCACAAAATTACCATTTCAAGCAAATCCAAAGACAAAGTGTACAATTCACATGTATGCTTACTTTTAATGCTTTCAATGAACAGAGACAAAGACCAACAGACTTTCACCTGCAATTGAAGTGCTTCATGATTGTCCAATCCCTCGACAATGGGTGCAAATCGTTCTCTGTTATTTTGCTCCGCAGCTGTGGTTATGGCTTCCAAGATTTTATCAAGGCTAAAATATTGTAGAAAAAGTCTTAGCAGCATGTTGTAGAACCACTTTTCCTTTTAATTCTTCTTTAAACATACACAAATTTAAGATAAATAGGTACATCGCTATAGTTAAACTGAACTTATGAAAATAGAGAAAATCTATTTCATATTAAAATAGTCATTCTTACATAAATGCGACATTTAAATATCAGTGAAAATACAATAACGCCTGCCAAGTTCAGTCAGCAATAATAACACAATATAGACAGCAAATTGTTTCCTACAGCCAGCTAGGGGATTAACACGAATTTAAATTTAGTGAACACATTCTAAAACATATGCAAATTCCAACAGCACAGGGTAGAAACAGTTTTTAAGTGTTCCATTAAAGATTACTAATTCTATTAGAAAGTTTTGTTTTCTTGTCAAGTTCTATAATTTTCACTTCCCACATAATCAATAAAGATAAATATTTGTTCTGACTGAAACTCAACTGTTCCATCATAAAATTTCTATGTCCTATTCCTAGTTTGAACTGAAAGGCAGAACAATAAAAACAAATCACTTCACAAAAGACAAAAAACTTCAGGTCAGACTCATTTAAAAGTGAGACAATACCCATTATTCGGAGTGGATGCAGTGGTGCAGTGGATAATGTCCCTACCCCGAATTGTGAGACTTGAATTCAAGTTCCACATGTTCCAATGGCGTGCAATAACATCTCTAAACAGGTTGATTAGAAAAATAGGTTAAATAAGACAAAAAAAAATTGACTATTAGGAGATCTCTTATGGTGCTATGATAGTGCCCTATCTCAGAGCCAGGAGGCCCGGGTTCAAGTCCCAACTGCTCCAAAGATTGTAAGAGCATCTCTCTGAAGAGTTTTGATCAGAAAATTTCAATCCACTATGAGGAATGCTCTTGTGGTGCAATGTCTCTACCTCTGAGCTAGGAGGCCCAGGTTCAACTCCCATCTGTTCCAGACATGCATCATAATGCACTCAAGCAGGTTGATTAAAAAAAGAATCGGTTTGTTTGTTTCAGCTTTCAAATTTCTTTCTGTTGATATAAAAACATGCATGCAGAGTCAGTTAGGCAGGCAGCTACTTATGGATCTGATTAATGGGACAGCATGGGTTTCGATCCCTGGCTGAGGTGGATGTGAGAGCTGTCTCTTTGCCTTACCTGCAAGTAAATAATCACAGCACTTCACTGTGGTTTGGTAAATAATCATCATGGATGTGCCTTCGGGCAGAAAACTCAAGGTGAAACAAGTAAATGTTAATAGAATAGGTCCAGCAGAGGGCGACAGCAAGGGTGAGGCATCACTTCGGCACATACATTACAGCCCAGAAGCAGTCACCTCCACTAAGGAGCAGATCATCTGGCAACAGCTCCCATGATCAGTAGGAGGAAGAGCATCCAGCAGAGGGGGGCATTAAGGGAGAGGCATTATTTCGGCGCACACATCAGAGCCTGGAAGCAGTCACCTCCACTGAACAGCAGATCATTGTGGGCCTGGTATCAAATACTTCTTTAGCCCCAAACATCACATCAAAGTAGTTGTTCCCTCCCTTCCTTCTCCTCTAACCAAAGAAGGGGTGAGAGAGACGTGCTAATTTGTTGGTAGCAGAGTGAGTAGTTAGACATCGGCATGATAGGCTTCGGTGAGCAGCGGCTCAGCAAAAAGTACAGATGAGGTCAGGTCAATTCCTTTTAACTTTCCTCTTAATCTTAGAGCAGTTGAGATGGCAGTTAGGGCAGTGGCATGCTCCTCCTGCAGGGTGTGGGAGATCAGGGAGACCACCATTGTCCCTGATGACTACACCTGTGGGAAGTGCACCCAGCTGCAGCTCCTGGGAAACCATGTTAGGGAGCTGGAGCCTGACGCACACAAGATCATCCAAGATGCTGAGCGCATCTGATTAGAGTTTCAGTGGTTACATCTAAGACGCAGGTAGAGAGTAGCTGGGTGACCACCAGGAAAGGCAAAGGGAGTAGGCAGAGAGTGCAAGAATGCCCTATGGCCATTTCCCTCAAAAACAATAATGTCATTTTGGATCCTAGACAACAAGGTGCAGAGCTGGATGAACACAGCAGGCCAAGCAGCATCATAGGAGCAGAAAGGCTGACGTTTCGGGCCGAGACCCTTCATCAGAAAAATGGATCCTGCTGGGGATGGGTGGAATGACTGATCGGGGAAAGCACCAGTAGACAGGTTGGTGGCACTACAACTGGCTCTGGGGCACAGTGGGAAAGGGTGAAGGTAAATAGGACCTTAGTGATAGGCAACTTGATAGTTAGGGGGAGAGACAGGAGATTCTGCGGCCACAAACAGGAGTCCAGGATGGTGCGTTGCTTCCCAGGTGCCAGGATCCAGGATGTCTCACAGCGGCTACAGAACATTCTCAAGGGGGAGGGTGAGCAGCCAGAAGTCATTGTACACGTTGGCACAAATGACATAGGTAGAAATAGGGATGAGGTCCTGCAGAATGATTATAGAGAGCTAGGAAAGAAGTTAAAAACCAGGACCTTGACGGTGTTAATCTCCAAGTTATTTCCAGTGCCACACACTAGTGAGGTTAAGAACAGGAGGATACGGCAGAATAACGCATGGCTAAAGAACTGGGGCAGGGATTCAGATTCCTGGATCATTAGGATCTTTTCTGGGGCTGGGGTGACCTGTTCAAGAGGGACGGGTTGCACCTGAACTGGAGGAAAAATTGCTAGTGCTACAAGGGAGGGTTTAAACTAAGTTGGCAGGGGGATGGGATTCTAAACAGCAGGGAGGCAAGTGCGAGGCGAGAAGAAGATACAGTAATCAGAAATAGCAAGTCGAGGAGACAGGTCAGGATGGAACAGGACAAGGAGCAAGGAATGCCCGTTGGATTAATTTGCATCTATTTCAATGCAAGAGGGCTGACAGGTAAGGCTAATGAACTCAGGGTGTGGATAGGTACATGGACTGGGCTATTATAGCCATTCCAGAAACAAGGCTAAGGGAGGGACAGGACTGGCAGCTTAATGTGCCAGGATACAGGTGCTTTAGGCAGGACATAGGTGGAGGAAAGAGGGGAGGGGGAGTTGCATTTTTGATTTAAGGAGAGTACCACAGCAGAAGTCAGAGTTGAAATAACTGAGGGATCATTCAGTGAGGCTCTGTGTGTGGGGCTAAGAAATAAGAAGGAGATGGTGATGTTATTGGGTTGTACTATAGGGCCCCAAATAGTCAACAGGAATTAGAGGAACAAATATGCAGGGAGACTAGGGAGACTTGCAGGAGAAATAAGGTTGTCATAGTGGAGGATTTTAATTTTCTTAACATAGACTGGGACTACCATAATGTTAAAGGGCTTAGATGGGGTGGAATTTGTAAAATGTGTTCAGCAAAGTTCCTTACAGTATATAGAGGGGCCTACACAGGAAGGGGCAAAACTTGACCTACTCTTGGGAAATAGGGCAGGACAGGTGACTGAGGTGACAGTGGGGGAGCAATTCAGGACCAGTGACCATAATTCTATTAATTTTAAAATAGTTATGGAAAGAGGCAAAACTGGTCCACAGGTTCAAGTTCTAAATTGGGGCAAGGCGAATTTTGATGGAATTAGACAGGAGCTTGCAGGGGTTGACTGGAATAGTTTGTTTGCATGCAAAGGGACCTCTGGCAAGTGGGAGGCCTTTAAATGTGTGATAGCTAGAGTTGAAGGTCTATATGTTCTTGTGAGGGTGAAGGGCAAGGTTGGCATGAGTAGGGAACCCGGGATGACAAGAGATATTGAAGCTTTGACCAGAAAAAAATAGGAGGCATGGCTCAGGGGCAGGCAGCTGGGACCAAGGGAATCCCTGGAGGTATACAGGGGATATAGGAGTTCACTGAAGAAGATAAGGAGGTGAAAAGGAGGCATGAGATAGCTTTGGTTGAGAAGATTAGGGTGAATCCAAAAAGATTCTTTAAGTATGTTAAAGGAAAAAGAATAACTAGAGACAGAATAGGACCCTTCAAGGCCCACAGTGACATGTATGTATGTAACCACAACAGAAGGGCGAGGTCCTCATTGAATACTTCTCCTCTATGTTTACCGTGGAGAAAGACCTGAAGACTTGGGAACTTGGGGAAGTTAGTGACGATATCTTGGGGACAGTCCATATCACAGTACAGATGGTGTTGGAAGTATTAGAATGTATGAAGGTAGATAAATCTTCTGGTCCTGACCAGACATATCCAAGAACCCTGCAAGAGGCTAGGGAAGAAATTGCGGGACCCTGGCTGATGTATTTGCATCATCATTAGCCATGGGTGAAGTCCCGGAAGACCGGATGGTAGCGAACGTTGTGCCCTTATTCAAGAGGGGCTGCAAAGTAAAACTTGGGAATTATAGACCAGTAAACGTAAACGTAACACCTGTGATAGGTAAGTAACTTGAAAAGATTCTGAGGGATAAGATATACATACATTTGGAAAGACAGGGTTTGACTGGGAGTAGTCAGCATGGCTTTGTGCATGGGAGATCATGCCTCTCAAATTTGTTACAGTTCTCTGATGAAGTGACCAGGAAGGCGTTTGAATGCAGGGCAGTAGACGTAGTCTATATGAATTTCAGTAAGGCCTTTGATAAGGTTCCACATGGTAGGCTGGTCTGGAAGATTAGATCACATGGAATCCAGGGAGAAATGGTAAATTGGCTTGATGGTAGGAAGGAGAGGGTAATACTGGAAGGATGCTTGTCTGACTGGAGGCCTGTGACTAGTGTTGTGTCTTAGGGGTCGGGACTGGGCCCATTGCCATTTGTTATCTACATCAATGATTTGGATGAGAATATACAAGGCATGATTAGTAAGTTTGCGGACGACACTAAATAGGCAGTATCATGGACAATGAGAAAGGTTATCAGAAATTGCAGCAGGATCTTGATCAGCTGGGGAGGTTGGCCGAGAATTGGCAAATGGAGTTTAATATAGCTCAGTGTGATGTGTTGCATTTTGGAAAGTTAAACCCTGGTAGGAGTTTCATGGTGAATAGTAGGGCCTTAAGGAGTGTAGTGGAACAGAGGGACCTTGGAGTTCAGGTGCACGGTTCTCTGAAAGCGGAGTCAAAAGTAGACAGGGCAGTGAAGGCGGCTTTTGGCATACTGCCCTTCATCCGTCAGAGTACTGAGTATAGAAGTTGGGAAGTTATTTTGCAGTTGTACAGAACATTGGCGAGGCTGCATTTGGAGTATTGTGTTCAGTTTTGGCCACATTTCTACAGGAAGAATGTTATTAAACTAGAAAGAGTGGAGAAGAAATTTACAAGGATGTTGCCACAACTCAAGGGATTGAGTTATATGAAAAGGTTGGACAAGCTAGGACGTTTTTCTTTACAGCGAAGGAGAACCGAGGTGGGATCTTAAAGAAGTGTATAAGATCATGAGTGGTATGGATAGGGTGAATGCACTCAGTCATTTTCCCAGGGCTGGGGAATCGAGGACTAGAGGGCAACAGTTTAAGGTAAGAGGGGAAAGGATACATGGGAATCTGAGGGGCAACTTTTTTTTTTAAATACACAGAGGGTAGTCACATATGGCATGAGCTGCCAGTGGAAATGGTTGAGGCAGGTACATTAACAACATTTAAAAGGCATTTGGACAAATACATGGATGGATAAGGTTTAGAAGGATATGGGCCAACTACAGGGAAATGGCTTAGCATGGATGGACATTTTGGTCGGCACAGACCAGTTTGAGCCAAAGGGCCTGTCTCTGTGCTGTAGGACTCTATAACTCTATGTCTATGGCTCTATGAAAATTCATTTAAATTTTGTTCTTGAGAGCTCAGCAAATCAATTTTTTCTAACATGCCTTCCTTCTTCTCCCTGATGTCATCAAAAAAACAGCATAATGAGCAACAAATAAAAAGTATTTTAAAAGGAAGGGACAATGGCATTTTCAGAAGCAACTGCTGAACTTTTTAAACAAACTAACAGTTGATGCATTTGTATAGAAAACAAGTATATGTTTAACTTACATATTTTCTTCTCCAACAATGCAAATTGCAGACAGAATTTTGACAATTTCTATCATCATGTTTGTTTGTTTTGGGTCAATCGCTCTTGCCAATAACAATAAGCTCCTTTCATCGCCAAGAATTCTTTGCAATCCAAACTATGTAGCAAATAGATAGGTTATAGGTAAGATGATGATTTTTCAAAAATAATACTGTAATGCTTTATTAAATGTCTAACCATAACATTCACATAGGGAACTCTTGCCAGATACAACTTGACCAATAAGAAATGTAACCTTCCGTCTTGTGGCCCAATTTTATTATATAAAGCAAGGTTGACTCAAATATCTCTTTGCCATTATAACTTGTCTGTTCATTACCTTACCTACAGCTAGATTTTTCTTTTCAGTCCCATGAGTGGCTGCTCACAGCAATAAAACTGTCTTCATCTAAGCTACCAACATCCATTCAGCTGCAATACAAGCTCACGCCCAATTCCATCCCTCACCAATGCCAACATTGGCAATCATTCTCTTTGCTAATACCATCTCTTCAGTGTGTCTACGGCACAGCTGGCTCATGATTCTACTCATACATACTTGAACTGTCCTGTTCCCCTTACCTGTCCTGCTGTTACTTATAGTTTACAGAAGATTGCCATCTTTAGTACTGACATGATCATTATTTGCATCACACTCCTTAAAAGAATCAATTTCAGGGACAAGATTCCACATGATGAGAGATAAAGTCTATTTTCTGCTGGCTCACTGGCACCATGGATATTATTGTATTGTTTTCACTGCTGATCCTCCAACAAAATTTGAAATTTTAAAATTGCTTCATTCAAAATGAGCAAGATCATAATAAATCCACTATAATCTGCATCTACAGGGTCGCCATGTTCATAACCCCGTTAGGGTTATTTTGCTGTAATACATTGGTGTCATTTTGGAGTGATACCTCCTTCTCCAACTTGACGTTTCTTGAAGCCCTCCAACCTGCAGCCAGAGACCCTACATACCTGACCGCGGACCATCTGCCAAAGCTGTCATTCACCAGTATCATCCCCGAGACCCTGCACAAGCTGCCATTGCCTCCCACACACAATTGAGTTAGTCACTGCCAGGTTTAGCAACCCCTCAACCATGGGGCATCATCTCATTCTGAACCCGGCAGCTACCCTCCTCTGATTCCTCTGGTCCAATATAGGTCAAAATTGGTAGCTGCCCTGGTCTGCTGGGCACCAATCTATACCCCATTGGGAGGCACAAGATTAGTGTGAGCTTGACGCACCCTCTGGAGTGCAAGCCACGACCAAGCTCAGCAACTCGTCTCTCCTCTCTTTCTTGCCACCAAACTCTCCTATCAATCCCTCACTGCCTCTCCCCTCTTCCTGTACCGATGCCCACAAGGCAGCAGCCACTGCTAAGCTCAGCAACACTCTGACCAGCTCCTCACCCCTAGGTGGAGCTCCTATGTCAGATTTCAAACCCTGACCAGCAGAACAATACAGGAGAGCTGCAGAATTCCATCTGCATAAGACAGACCATCATCACAACCTGGACAAAGATTTCCTGTGCACCGTCACCAACCACGAGTTATAATCTGATACAGAAATGCCACAGCACTGGCTAGTAACCTGTACAGAAATGTAGCCAGGAATGAGCAATAGACTCAGAAAACACCCCCACACGACAATCCCCTAAGTACTCTTACTGAAACCAGGCAGAAGCCCCCGATCTCTATTTTAAGAGGATCCACTGCAGGAGGTATTTTAAACAAAATGTTACATGCTCCTTCTTCTTTTACTTAAATGACATTGGGAAAGCAATAATATTTGGAGATAAATGTACTAGATGTACTGGAGCTCCATTTTAAGGTAAACAAGCACACCAGATCAGTACATATCATTCACAAGTTTTATCGTCTTCCTTCTGGAATGAACAGTTACCTTACTAACTAGTGTAGGAATTTGACATTTAAAATATTATATTTCCATTTAGAGGGAAGAACCAACAGAACCTAATTCCAATTTTAACATTGATTCCTATGGGAAATCCCACATAGAGTTGGAATTTTCAGAAATGCAACCCTAACATTAGGTGAGCACACCCGGTACTTAGATGCCCGGAGGCTCGAGTCCCATCAATGTCATTAGATTAAATGCAATAGTATCTTGTTCAAATCCAGTGCATTAGAAAGAATGCATTAAGTTCTGGATCCTACCTCTCTCCAACATTGCTCAATGATTTCTGCACTGAACTTAAGCATTTTTCCCATGCACGTACTCCACATAATCTCAAACTGTGGTGTGCTCCTCCTCCGTACACAAAATCACAAATCTTTCTTGCAAATTCTTGTCAAACTACATGGGCTTTGTGACCTACTGAATCAACTTGAAAATGTTAGCCTTCAACATCTCCTGAAATCTATCCCAATTTACCCAAAAATCTTCATACATGCTTAATGTGTTCTATACTCTCTGCTGCTCTGACTTCAAATCACAACTTTAGCCCAACTTCAATCATTCCATTGTCTATAGTCATTCGGTTTCAGAAATTAATTTCAAACTAACACTGTAAAACTTTTTGCTTTAAAGTACATTATTAATGTGTTGACCTTGCAACATGTAATGCCTAGTACAATATACCGAATGCACTCAGACACTTAGTGTTAGTAGCTTGTTTAATATGGATTTTACAATATTTTCTGTTAGAAGATGGATATTGTACGATGTAACATATTACAGCATCCAAATAGCAAACCTAATGATCAGCTAAATATCGATTAGCATTAGATTTTCATGAATAACCTCTGACAGATACATGTCTCATGGAAGTGAATTTCTATATTAGATATGTAACACTTTTTGTTCTGGAGTAGTGATTGACAGTGATTGTGACTATAGGTAAAAGTCCCAATTCTGAAACAGAATTATGTCCCTTACATGTTACTTTGATGAAAATAAAGGTCTTACCTTGTTGTTCATAAATGCCTTTAGACATTGGATAAGCTTATGTTGGTTTTTCTTGTCAATCATTTCTTGTCTACAGTAAAAGAAATGCAGGGATAGATATCTATTCTTCAAACAGCAGTTGTCATACTTTATTAAAATTTGAATGATGTACATGTTTTGAACCACAAATTTGTTTTAAATCTTGGATGGCTATGCAAAACATTCATACAGAACAATCCCATTAACTTAAAGATTACTTGTCAATTGTCTAAGGATACACACAAACAGAGTCGAGGCCAAAAGAGAGGATTCACACCTGTGACATTTGTTATTCTTCAACAATTAAAAATTTTAATTATGATTTGGATAGGCTAGGCTGGAAGCCTTTTTTAAAAACTATGTACTTTTATCGAGCACGTACTTACTATGACAAACTTGTACTGGGTATGGGTCTTGTAACTAAGTAAGACTAGTAAACTTTAGATTGGCTTTTCTAAACGGTATATAATTGTAATTGGCTTCGGTCTCAATTAAAGTTAAAGTGTGTCCAAAAACCTTACACAATCATCAGGATAAAGGGTAAGTGTTCTGAGGAGAATTGTGCAGAATGACCTGCAACCCAGAGTGTAACACACATGTATTACTAAAATATTTAAATGCTTTGGTGCACTTCATTCAAAATGGAAACAGGGGGCAGGAAGCGGGAATTGAAGCAAGAAGTCTCAGCATCTCAAAGGAACACAATACTGCAGAGTGAAAAAGATGTTTAAAGAATTTCAGATCCTTTTTCCATGAAACCTTACAAAATAAGAAAATATTGAATCTATTACGTTAGTAATCCATAATGTCTTCAGTAAAACCAGAATATGTTTCCTTGCACAGGAGTGAATGTGAGAGAGACAGTCAGAGAAAAGAGAGACGGAAAGAAATAGAAGGAAGGAGAAAGAAACTAAGTTGGAAAGGAAACTGAATTTGGTCCTGTGCTTCACATGAAGAAAGGCAGACAGAAGCAGCAGACAACAGATGGGAACATTAGATCTGTACTCAAGCATCCCATACATGGTAGAATAGAGGGAAAAATACCAAGTTTGAAATACATTGGGAATCAAATCCACCATTTTTGAAAGAGTACCCAATTGTATATTGTGACTATATGTGGAGAAGGTTGAATAACTGGTCAGATTATTATCTGAATATGACATCACATGGGTTTTTAAACATCTTCAGTTTTTATTATTTATCAATATGCAGGTGGATTTGGAAAATCATGTTGGTAGTGGATTGCAAGAAAAGGAGTTTGTGGAATGTCTACGAGATGGCTTTTTGGAGCAGCTCATGGTGGAGCCCACAAGGGAACAGGCAATACTGGATTTGGTGTTGTGCAATGAAGCAGACTTGATAAGGGAGCTGAAGGTAAAGGAACCTTTAGGAGGCAGTAATCATAAGATGATAGAATTTACTCTGCAATTTGAGAGGAAGAAGATAGAATCAGAGGTAATGGTATTACAGCTGAATAAAGGTGACTACAGAGGTTTGAGGGAGGAGCTGGGCAGAATTGACTGGAAGAGGAGCCTCGCAGGAAAGACACTGGAACAGCAATGGCAGGAGTTTCTAGGAGTAACTCAGGAGACGCAGCAAAGATTCATCCCTAGCAAAAAGCAGCACGGCACAGGGAGGATGAGGCAACCATGGCTGACTAAGGAAGTCAAGGAGAGCATAAAAGCAAAAGAGAAAGCATATAATGTGGCAAAGGGCAGTGGGAAACCAGAGGACTGGGAAGCTTACAAAGACCAACAGAGGGCAACAAAAAAAAAAAAGGAGAAGATTAAATATGACAGTAAGCTAGGCAGTAATATAAATGAAGACTGTAAGAGCTTCTTTAGATAGATAAAGGGCAAAAGAGAGGCAAAAGAAGAAATTGGACCACTGGAAAATGACGGTGGAGAGATGGTAGTGGGGAACAAGGAAATGGCTGAGGAACTGAATAATTACTTCGCGTCTTCACGGTAGAAGACATGACTAATATCCCAAAAATTCAAGAGAGTCAGGGGCAGAGCTGAGTATGGTAGCCATCACCGAGGAAAAGGTGCTAGTAAAACTGATTGGCCTGAAGGTGAACAAATCACCTGGACCAGATGGACTACACCCCAGAATTCTAAAGGAGATAGCTGAAGAGATAGTGGAATCATTAGTGGTGATCTTTCAGGAATCACTAGAGTCAGGGAGGGTCCCAGAGGACTGGAAAATGGCTAACGTGACACCCCTGTTTAAAAAGGGAATAAGGCAAAAGATGGAAAATTACAGGCCGATTAGCCTAACCTCAGTCATGGGTAAGATTTTGGAGTCCATTGTAAAGGATGAAATTGCTGAATATTTGGAAGTGTATAGTAAAATAGGGCAAAGTCAGTACGGTTTCATCAAGGGGAGGTCATGCCTGACAAATCTGCTAGAATTCTTTGAGGAAGTAACAAGCAGGGTAGACCAAGGACAGCCAATGGATGTTATCTACCTGGACTTCAAAACGGCCTTTGATAAGGTGCCACACAGGAGGCTGCTGAGTAAGACAAGGTGTTAGAGGCAAGGTGCTAGCATGGATAGAAGATTGGCTGTCTGGGAGAAAGCAGAGAGTAGGGATAAAGGGGTCTTTCCCAGGATGACAGCCGGTGACAAGTGGTGTTCCACAAGGGTCAATGCTGGGACCACAATTTTTCACTTTTATACATTAATGATCTAGATGAAGGAACTGTGGGCATTCTGGCTAAGTTTGCAGACGATATAAAGATAGGTGGAAGGACAGGTAGTATTGAGGAGGTGACGAGGCTGCAGAAGGACTTGAACAGGTTAGGTGAGTAGGCAAAGAAGTGGCAGATGGAGTACAACGTGGGAAAGTGTGAGGTCATGCACTTTGGTAAGAAGAATAAAAGCATGGACTATTTTCTAAATGGGGAGAAAATTCAGAAGTTTAAAGTGCAAAGAGACTTGGGAGTTCTAGTCCAAGATTCTCTCAAGATAAATTTGCAGGTTGAGTCAGTAGTCAGGAAGGCAAATGCAATGTTGGCATTTATTTTGAAAGGACTTGAATATAAAAGCAGGGATGTACTACTAAGGCTTGATAAGGCTCTGGTAAGGCCACATTTGGAGTATTGCATGCAGTTTTGGGCCCCATATCTCAGGAAGGATGCACTCGCCCTGGAGTGGTTCAGAGGAGGTTCACGAGAATGGTCCCAGGAATGGAAAGCTTAACATATGAAGAACGTTTGAGGACTCTGGGACTATACCCATTGGAGTTTAGATGGATGAGGGGGGATCTAATTGAAATTTACAGAATACTGAATGGCCTGGACAAAGTGGATGTTGGGAAGATGCTTCCATTAGTAGGAGAGTCTAGGACCCGAGGGCACAGCCTTAGAATAAAGGGAAGACCTTTTATAATGGAGAGAAGGAGAAACTACTTCAGCCAGAGAGTTGTGAATCTATGGAATTCACTGCCACAGAAGGCTCTGGAGGCCAGGTCATTGAGTACATTTAAGACTGAGATAGTTAGGTTCTTGATTATCAAGGGGATCAAGGGTTACGGGGAGAAAGCAGGAGAATGGGGTTGAGGAACTTATCAGCCATGATTGAATGGCAAAGCAGACTCAATGGGCCAAATGGCCTAATTTCTGCTCTTATGTCTTATGATCTTATTTAGTCACTAACTCTCTTCCACCTCATCCTGTGTCTTTAAATTTAAAGAACTAGTTCTGACTTACTGTTTTTTGTCCAATAGTTTCTCCAAAGCATCAAGCATGAGACCAAGTCCTTCATGACCAAAGTTATTAACCCAGCTGAAAAACAAAACATGTATTAATTACATTTATACTATTTTAAATAAAAAAGATAGAAGATTATGACAAAACATAATCCATGATCCATAAACAGATATGTTGTAAAATTCTACAATTGCACATGTATATACTACTTTGGCAGAATTGGTAATTGCCTCAACTGCTAAATACAAATGTATGCAATTAGGTCAAAACTTTAAGATGTATGAAGTAAAAATGTTAAGGACTACATCAAGAGTAAAATAATCATATTCATAAATTCTGAAAAGGTTGTTTTTATTTTACATCTTAATTTATAAATTTCACATTACAGTTTTAAGAAAACAACGTAAATAAATGGCCTTAAACTATTTTTCTTGAGAATTTGATTTTCAGTTCTTTCAATTTTTTTTTCTGGTCTTTCAAATGAGTTGTTTCCATCCAATCATTTCCCATTTTCTTCCATTAAGTTAATTAAGAATTAGTTAAATTCAAAGTTGGTGTTGACATACATATCCCTGTAAACTAGTAATATTATGGTTTAAACTTTTCCCCGTGAAAAGATTGACAAACAACAGTGTTCCTTATGAAATACGATATGCATTATTTGCAGTTGGCCACGGTGTTCGTCCACTCAAATTTCAATTGAACTTTATCATAGTAAGTTGCTTTTTGGAGTTTAAACCGGACAGCCTATTCCGATAGCCAAACTAGCAGATCAATGGACACTTTACTAAACTATGTAAGATTATAGAATTATTTACAACATCAAACATAAATTCTTAAGACCAAAAAAATGAAAAATACTAAACAGGGCAATATTTAGATAGTTGAGATTATCAGTGTGACAGTGGAGAGTCGGTAATTTATAGCCAGGGATCTAAAAAAGTGTTTGATTTCCCGCCTGAATGGCCCAACTCCAATTATGCCCCTAACAAATTAAATAGTTTCTCCATATCAAATAATTTTAACGTTATAAACACTTCAGTCGTTCACTTCTAAATCTCCCGCACTTGGAGGATTACAAATCAAATTTATGTCACCTTTACTTCTAAGTTAACCCTCCAAGTACCAGCTGTCTCTCAGGACTTCTCTGAATTCCCAGCACACTGACCATGCAACATGCCCTCAGAAGCACAATTACCCAGTGTTCTGAAGAAGTCTTACCTCCGAGTTAGATTCAGAGACGTTGGAGGATTCCAACATACTTACCTTAATAATGAGCCAGCAAATGTCAGATGCATTAAAACCTGCTCTATCCCTAGACAACACTGCCTTTTTAATACTAACTCCCCAATCAGTCACCCTGACCCCGCCAGCCTCTCACACTGGTACCTCAACCGGCCAAATCCCAAATACCCACACCTCCTCAACCACACCCTTAATTATGGGCACCTAGCAAAATTAAATTCAATGGGAATCACCACATATTCCTCTCAGTTTCAGTTGCAGAATCATGCCTCAGTAACAGTTTACCTATCACTACCACAAAATTTGGGCTTTTTTTATACTGTAAAGCTAGATGTTTTACAAAACATTAGCAAATACAAGATGTGCATTATTCAAATAGAAAGCCAATATCCATTACTAATATTGAAATCCAAACATTTGAAGATATTATTTCATGAATATTGAAATTAGTATTCAAACCATTGCAAAGTAACAGAAAGAAACCAAAGCAAGTTATTCAGACCATTTTGTCCATTTCAGCTTTTTGCATGGTATATATAATTATTCTCATTTCCTTCACTCTCTTCTCAAATCCTTGCAAATGTTTCTTTTTCATATCCCATTAGAAAGTTATCACTGCCTGTTTCCACCACAATCAGTATATTTCAAATCATAATGACTTGCTGAGTGACAGAATAACTTATCAAACCTCTACTGTTTTGCTAGTCATCTTAAATCTGTGCATTCTGGTTACTGGCCCATCCTTCAATGGAACCAGATCCTCCTCAGTTATTCTATCTAAACCACTCATCATTTTCAAAAGTCGTTTTTAGATATTGCCATTCTGAGCTTAACAGTCCCAGCTTCTCCGGTCCCTCCATCACATGAAGTCCCTCACTCTTGGCATCTTTCTGGTAAATTTCCTGTACACTCTCGCCAAACTCTTGGTATCCTCCCTAAAATCCAGTGGGCTTTTAAAGATTTATCATAACATCTTCGAAGTTTATGTAGCTATCTTTAAAAACAGGTTGCTAAAATATTTTTTGATTCATCATCTTGTTCCCCTCCAAAGTAAACTATCAGATCCTCCTTTTCTGAACTCACCATTACTTTTTTTAAAAATATATGATAAAATATACTGAGTGGAAACTTGAGGGTTTTTTTGGAGTGGCGGGGGGTGGAATCACATATCGCCTGAAAAAATTGCAGGTTATCCACACCAACTTTTAGGAAGAAAACTTGCCCTATCATCTGTCCATCAAAAGTTTAAGAGGATAGCAGCAGGAACTAAACCCAGAGTTAATGTCACACCCAACTAGAGATGTTTTGAGGTGGCGATGCTACACAAAATGAATTTTTAGCCTTTCAGTCTGTGCGACGTAATTACGCAGCTGGACATTGTGAGCATGACTATTTCTTCTGAACTTCAATAACAGTACCCTACAAGTATTTCAGTAACACCACTATACCCAATGGTCTGAATTTTAGTCAGCAAAGGAGATAGAGCTTACCAGCAACCTAGAAGAACGCTGTACACAAATATTTAGCAATCTACCTCTCATGTGAACTCTCCATTCAGCAACATGAATTTGAAATTTCTCCAGCTGTCTGGCAGCGTGATATCATCAAACATGGTAACAGCCAATCATACAAAAGTATATTGAGACAGCAAAGCAGGAAGCAAAGTGCACTGATTGAAGCAATTACACAGGATTAAGGATTAGGTTTAAATATCACAATCATAAAAATAAATACTTTAAAAATTTGTGCATCTTTATTTTCAGTAGGAATATATAGCATTCCAGGAATGAGTGTTTTCATGGCCAGACAGACTTTGAGCGGTAATTATGAACAGTAAACCATCATAAACCCAGTTACACCTCAGTTTAACACAATCTTATGTAAATATCCTTGAGAAAATTGCACTAACAGATTATCAGTTCAGTGATTTTTACTTGATTAAAGTCTGTGGAGGTTTCAACAGCACAGCCTTCAGGGAAATACAGAAACGTGACCAACAACTTGTGGATTTCCACACAATGCTGCACATGTAGAGACTGAAGTAGTTTTTTTGTCCGTTTCGACTGAGCTATGACGAGATACCAAGATTCTCTTTTATTATTACCCCAAAATCTCAGTCCATCTCTGTGCATGTGTGGAATAGCGCGCCAAATTTCAAGGAAAGTCAAAACATCTAATTAGATGTTTGGTTTTGTCAATATTACCAAGACAGCACAATAGAGGGATCATCATTAAGTGAATTTCACTTAGGTCTACAATAACAAAAAAGTAAGTTGCAGAGTGCCTGAATCAGAATTTATTTCTGTAAGAGTTTAAAATTTTCAATTTCGCCTCACATTTCAGGATTTTCTGAAAAATCCTCTCTGCCAAATTGTAAATTAATATTGGGTATGTGTTTCATTGATAAAAGGCCCTATTCACACAATTATTCTTCATATGAATAACCATGGATATTACACAACAATTCAGTTAACTGCTGGAAGATCACGGTTGAATCCAAATAAGACCTTTTAAATGTGCACTTGACTTTTGAAGGAGGGGCTTGGGTAGCAATTAGAAGCACGAACCATGTTTTTTTTTGCTTCATTAATCCAGAAGTGCCAAAGCTGACAAACATACCCAGCCGAAATCAAGGATGAAATAAACAGTGTCAACATATGCAAACTCCCAACAGCAAGTTTATTGGCTACAAAATAAAGAATTCAAGTGATGCATATTTTCAGCAATGGTAATGCATTGCCAGCGAACTAAGAACTCCAGCTACGCTTTTCGATGCCATAGTAGGTTGACAGACCTGCAACTGGAGGCCTACTTCAATTGCTGTGAGTTTTTACCTCCCTGTCCAGGTTAATGATTTTAAAAATAATGCAATGAAATACAGTGAATGTCATTAATTACATTTGACCACGTGCATGGTGAAGACATACTGAAGTAAGTATTGCCATTTATCACAGCAATCTCCAATGCTTGCTGCAAATAGGATATAGTGTGAAGCCACCAGCACGAACCTTTCATTTTTATCATGGGAGTGACTTTTGTCTGATTGTTCACCACCATGAATGGATTTGCCCAAGTGGATTCAAGTTAGGTGGGGCAGATTCACCCGCTGCTGTGTATTTTAATCCTTGGAATTCTATGTTTGCACAACTTGCTGGACAGAGAAGTTTCATCTGATTTTTATCTTTGATTCCCTAGATTTTAAAAATCTGAAAGCTTAGATACTTATCATTGGAAGGAGTTGGATATTCTTATTTTGTGTTACCAAGGATCCATACCGATGATTAGCACAGGAACTGGGATTTTAGAGAAAAGGTTGGGATGTTCTGCTTAAGTGTATTAGACTATTTGTCCAAAATATTTACTTAACAATAAACATATAAAATAGTAACTTAGTATTTTTATGTACTAAAATATTCAAGGCGCTTCATTACCTCTCATTTCTTAAGTTGCACGGTCTCACAAGTAATGTATTGGCATGGATAGAGGATTGGTTGACCAGTAGAAAGCAAAGAGTAGAGGTAAATGGGTGTTTTTCTGGTTGGCGGTCAGTGGCTAGTGGTGTGCCTCCGGCATCAGTGTTGGGACCATAATTGTTTACAATTTACATAGACGATTTGGAGTTGGGGACTAAGTGTGGTGTGTCAAAATTTGCAGATTACACTAAGGTGAGTGGTAGAGCAAAGAGTGCAGAAGACACAAAGTCTGCAGAGGGATATAGATAGTCTAAGTGAGTGGGCAAAGGTCTGGCAGATGGAGTACAATGTTGATAAGTGTGAGGTCATCCATTTTGGTAGGAATAACAGCAAAATGGACTATGTTTTAAATGGTAA